GTTGCATTAGCGAGACTCTTGACATCTGGCTAATCGATTCGGATCCACTCGTGGAGAAACTTAACACAATTGACAGCCAATCATTAACACGGCAAACCTAACTGCCGGTATACAAAGGAATCACAAGAGTTCCAACCGGATACTCGGGTAATGATATGCAATAAATCACAAAAACTGTCAATGGGACAGGCAATAACATGCACAATAATAATATCACACAATAACTAAATGTGTGGTGTATGTGAAGCTCACATTCACAGACGAGTGTAATGTCGTGATACCACGCAGATAAACACACACACACCGTCGGGTGTCTTCACCTATACCTGTGTCAGGTATGAGAAGGTGAGAACTGTGGTTGGTCCCTCAGACCAACACACACACACAATAAAACAATGACAAGATCTTGTACTTACAGGTAGGCTACCTCTCTTGAATAAGAGAGGATCTACAAAGTCATGTCCCTCTCTTGAATAAGAGAGGTAGCCTACTGGAACATGGAACTCTCAGGCACATTTATGCAAGAACTCGTAGGTGGCCTGACAGCTGGTTTCGGCGACAGGCTTTCCCACAAACCGTACATGACAAGGGGGTACTCGCAGGAGGGCGCGCTGTATGTCAATAGACACATGCACACACACTTGATAGCACTGGTGGCGAGTAAGGTGCTGACGTCACGTAGTACCGTGAGGCAGGGCGGCTGGCGGCTCGAGGCTAGGCTTAATTTAAATTTTAAATTTTGCCCCGAGGGGCGAGTTTATTGGGCAGCGCCACTCATCTTGTGAGTGAACACACCGCCAGCTACACGCTCTGGACCGAGTGGTGGCTGGCGGCTGATTATATGATACCATGCAGGTACACTGTGGTAAAAGCCACACACAGGTTACTTAGGCAGCGGCACTCCTTAGTTCACTCTAGGTCACTCAAAGACGATCTCTAGTTGTCACCAGGGATTACTTGATACCAGTCTGTTTCGCTCTGGTGATTTGTCACTAGGCTTCTAAACAATATAGTCACGATCGCGATTCAAGGAGAACATTGGTATATCGAAAAGACGCCGAGTTTAACTTGACGGTGAGGAATGGACAGTGTTCTTCTGTCTATTGACCGATAGACAGAACAGGACACGTCCTCTGCATACGGGCTCCCTCACATGTATGCTCTTGCCAGCGGCTGTAGGGCATCTCGTGGGACACACACAAGGGATTACAATTTGACCAATGGCATTGCAGCAAAAGAGCGGGAACCAATCATATTGATCGTTTCCTGATCAGTAGCAGAGGTGACGTCATGAACACGTCACGACCACGTCACAGTTGTTATTCTCCATCGCGCTGGTTGAGGCTGACACCAGAGGTCAGATCTGTCGCCTCTCTGGCGTCCTCTCCCTCTCACGCTTCGCACCTCCTATGTGTACTCTCTGACCCTAGTGGCAAGTAGGCTTAACTTCCCTGTATCTATTTCCTGTCCGAACATACGGCGGCCTCCGTATTATAAACGTATTCCTGGTTAAGTGGGCATCCTGGAGATACCCAACATGGCAGTTTACTATCCAGGGTTAACAGAGATAGAGCTTGTGCATGAGATGGGTGCACTGTGCACTGCAATGAGCCATTCAAGTCAGCTGTGGGGTAATCTTGAGAGACCATACTCTTACACTAACTAATTCCCTGCCCCCCCCCCCACACACACACACACCCAGGAAGCAGCTCCGTAACAGCTGTCTAACTCCCAGGTACCTATTTTCTGCTAGGTAACAGGGGCATCGGGGTGAAAGAAATTTTGCCAATTTGTTTCTGCCTGGTCCGGGAATAGAACCCGGGCCACAGAATTAAGAGTCCTGCGCGCTATCCACTCAGCTACGAGCTGGCTACATTCTTACACAAGAACGCAGGTTCTTGTGTAAAAACTGGATCTAATTACATATTGACTTGCCGAAGACGTGTGATGAGGGGGTTGTTGTGGTTGGCAGTGTGTACTCTTCCCGGCCGACAGGGGAGCCGGTCGGCCGAGCGGACAGCACGCGGGACTTGTGGTCCTGGGTTCGATCCCAGGCGCCGGCGAGAAACAATGGGCACAGTTTCTTTCACCCTATGCCCCTGTTACCTAGCAGTAAAATAGGTACCTGGGTGTTAGTCAGCTGTTACGGGCTGCTTCCTGGGGGTGGAGGCCTGGTCGAGGACCGGGCCGCGGGGACACTAAAACCCCGAAATCATCTCAAGATAACCTCAAGATAACCTCCACCCCCACCTGTTGGCAGAGGTGGAGAACGATGCGCCTATAACAAGCGCTATTCTTGGGTTATATATTCAACTATATTGTCCTATCATAAGCACTAACGATAACAAACTATCAATTGAACGTTGTAACAGTGTGAAAGGTAAGGAGGATGGGTCTAAAGCGTTTAATATACGCATGGGTCCTTAGTTATGGCATTAGCACCCATTGACAATATGGTATCTGCACCTCTGTCGATTCCTCTCCCCAATGTTATTTTATAGTCTGTCTTAAATTCCACTTGGCATACTTGAAAAAAAATAGTGGAATCATAAGTAACTACCTACTGTATTCCTACTGTAGTAACATCTTGGCTACTGGAAAATTGGTTTAGCATGTAATACTGACTAACTTGACTCCAAATGTACTTCAGTTTATTGGAGTGTTTCTAAACTAAATACAAATATGGTCAGAGGTGTTTAGCTAACTCCTTGAAATCTTAACTTCATGAACCATCTGTTAGTATTGTGGGTCGGGTTTCTTCCTATCGTACAAAATTAGATTATAAATATACAAACATTTGTAACGTGAACAAATCCACAAGGGTCGTGACGAGGATTCGAACCTGCGTCTGAGAGCATCCCAGACGCTGTCTTAATCGACTGAGCTACGACATGGTTAAAGAATTACAACAAGAAATTCTACTCAATTTACTTGGATCCTGCAGCCTCTCCGAGACACAAAACAGGATTTTACACAACTCCCCCCTGCACTCGAGCTATGTCAATAGGTCGTTCTACCTCTTCGCCCTTACTTCATTACACACACAAATCACAATAGTGTGATATATCAAATGTGCCCAGTGGGCAAAATATGCTAACGTTGATTTAATATGGAAAAAAGGTTTGATAAACACGACTCTGGCGCCGCCGCCGCCGTGCCACCTCGACCTGTGAACGTCTGCGGTGATAGGAGAAAATTTATTAAGAGTTGCGCATCATAAAGGTTAATAACTTTCACATTTGAAATCGAAATAACATTGAGGAAACCTTTAGGCCGCGTCTGATGTGACCCCCACGACGCTGGTTCGATTCCTCAGTCCTGCTCCAAACCTGTCTTAATTCAGCCCGTCCTCCTAAGATTTCCCCAGCGTCAAGAAAATAGTAAGTTTAAAGTGTCCTTTCCTAACCTGCCAGAGGACCCATAACAGAAAACGGGACAGTACGTCACTTCCGCGAGCCGCTTCTAGTACGACCATTTTTTGGCCGTATGTAACGCATACGATCGAAATACGACGTTCTTTTGTAAGAGGACAGGTTGCTTGATTACTTAATACGCTGTAATGACTTAATTACAGCGGTCAAGGGCAACTGTGCTGTTAATCACTCATTCACATATAAGCAAGGTTTGTGTGAATGATGTCTTCGAGTATGAATGAAAGGCTTTTAACTTGATCTGTGCAATTATATGCTGTACAGATTACTAATCGTGTTCTTTAACTAGGGTGTGTGTGGGTGTGTGTGTGTGTGTGTGTGGGTGTGTGTCTTGTGGGTGTGTGTCTTGTGGGTGTGTGTCTTGTGGGTGTGTGTCTTGTGGGTGTGTGTCTTGTGGGTGTGTGTCTTGTGGGTGTGTGTCTTGTGGGTGTGTGTCTTGTGGGTGTGTGTCTTGTGGGTGTGTGTCTTGTGGGTGTGTGTCTTGTGGGTGTGTGTCTTGTGGGTGTGTGTCTTGTGGGTGTGTGTCTTGTGGGTGTGTGTCTTGTGGGTGTGTGTCTTGTGGGTGTGTGTCTTGTGGGTGTGTGTCTTGTGGGTGTGTGTCTTGTGGGTGTGTGTCTTGTGGGTGTGTGTCTTGTGGGTGTGTGTCTTGTGGGTGTGTGTCTTGTGTGTGTGTGTCTTGTGGGTGTGTGTGTGTGGGTGTGTGTGTGTGGGTGTGTGTGTGTGGGTGTGTCTTGTGGGTGTGTGTGTGGGTGGGTGTGTGTGGGTGGGTGGGTGTGTGGGTGTGTGTGTGGGTGGGTGGGTGTGGGTGTGGGTGGGTGGGTGTGGGTGTGTGTGTGTGTGTGTGTTCACTGGGGTACACTAATATAAATAAAATTGGTATATTTGAAGCAGCATTAATGGGACGGTTATCTTGAGATTATTTCGGGGCTTAGCGTCCCCGCGGCCCGGTCCTCGACCAGGCCTCGTTTTAGTTACACACCCTCAGGAAGCAGCCCGTAACAGCTGTCTAACTCCCAGGTACCTCTTTACTGCTAGGTAACGGGGCATCACGGTGAAAGAAACTTTTTGCCCATTTGTCGCCACCTCCACCGGGGATCGAACCCTGAACCTCAGGACTACGAATCCGAAACGCAGTCCACCCAGCTGTCAGGCACCAGTTAAGGATACAGTTATAGTTAAGGATTTGTGCCTAGTAAATCCTTCCCGCCCAGGATACGATATAGAACTACGGGCTCGCCATAGCCTGTGCTACTGGAACTTTTTGTTCCAGGTAGCGAATCTTAAACAACAACCAGGATACGAACCCAGGACACAGAGCTCGCGAACTGCCAGGCGAGCATTTTACCACTACGCCACGGGAACTGCATATTAGCAGAAGAGAAATTATCAGCGTATTGTGCATGGTAGACTCGTGAGCAAATGAAAGCATCCACGAATTTCAATAGTTTAATAGTTATATTCTGTGGTAAGATGCCCAACTCACACGTCAGAAAATACAGGAACTGACGACGTTTCGGTTCGTCCTGGACCATTAGGTCGCGAGGTTTATCATTTGATAAACCTCATTTATCATTTTCTGCGTGGGGGCCCGGGGTTTTTCTGCGTGGGGGCCCGGGTTTTTCTGCGTGGGGGCCCGGGTTTTTCTGCGTGGGGGCCCGGGGTTTTCTGCGTGGGGGCCCGGGTTTTTCTGCGTGGGGGCCCGGGGTTTTTCTGCGTGGGGGCCCGGGGTTTTTCTGCGTGGGGGCCCGGGTTTTTCTGCGTGGGGGCCCGGGTTTTTCTGCGTGGGGGGCCGGGTTTTTCTGCGTGGGGCCCGGGGTTTTTCTGCGTGGGGGCCCGGGGTTTTTCTGCGTGGGGGCCCGGGGTTTTTCTGCGTGGGGGCCCGGGGTTTTTCTGCGTGGGGGCCCGGGTTTTTCTGCGTGGGGGCCCGGGTTTTTCTGCGTGGGGGCCCGGGTTTTTCTGCGTGGGGGCCTGGGTTTTTCTGCGTGGGGGCCCGGGGTTTTTCTGCGTGGGGGCCTGGGTTTTTCTGCGTGGGGCCCGGATTTTTCTGCGTGAGCCCGGGGTTTTTCTGCGTGGGGGCCCGGGGTTTTTCTGCGTGGGGGCCCGGGGTTTTTCTGCGTGGGGGCCCGGGTTTTTCTGCGTGGGGGCCCGGGTTTTTCTGCGTGGGGGCCCGGGTTTTTCTGCGTGGGGGCCCGGGTTTTTCTGCGTGGGGGCCCGGGGTTTTTCTGTGCGGGCCCGGGTTTTCTGCGCCCGGATCCTCCACATCCACCCGAACGGCAAATCCCCTCGGTTTCCCCACCTTTACAAAACACGTACAGAGACGCGGGTTTCAAACCCTTCTTACATCACCACAAGATTGAACAGTTGACACTTGCAAATTCCACGAGAGACTTTCTCCTCAAGGAGGCTCGTTTTTCTTGCTTGTGTGGAGTGGAGGTCCCACTTGAGGACGACAAAAACGGGCAAGCAACACAGGCGACTGTTGAAGGGGGGCTGGTGTTGCAAGATGCCTAAAAACAACAACCTTGGATGTATGCATGGCCTCCTTAATGCTGATTAGTGTGACCCCTTATTGCTCAAGTCGGCTTGGAATCCAGTTATGCTGGGGATGAGAGAAGTGGTTTTTCTAATTTTTAATATAAAGGGATCAATGGGGACGCGTATTTTGTATATATATACCAAATAAAAAAAATAAAAATTTTAATGTCTTTTGTATAGTGGATTAAATGTGATTGTGCTGAAACAATCAGGATTACCATCAATTTCAGTTTTATCGTATGTTTTTATGTCCTGTTCATCTGTTTCTTTGCTTCTTGTATTGCTTCATCCCTAAATTTTTAATCTCACTTTACTAAGATTAAGATTTGTCTTGAAGTATCGACACTTACTTTATCCCGGTTCTTATTTTTGTCATAATTTTTCATGAACTGTCGTGCAAGACTTGACTCTGTGGTCAGGGCATTGACGGTGGTGAAGAATAATATTTACGGGTCCTAGCAGCTATCCTTGAGGAGGATAGCAGCTGTCCTTGAGGAGGATAGCAGCTGTCCTTGAGGAGGATAGCAGCTGTCCTTGAGGAGGATAGCAGCTATCCTGTTGTCCTTCGTCCACGCTCTTCTCGTCTGTGAATTGGTCTCGTGTGTCTGTTACTCGCCCATAGCAGTGGTCTGTTATCGCTGTCTGCGTCTGCAGTGTGCCTAGTCCTTTATGTGGAACTGTTATTAAAGGCGTTTTGGCGGTCATGAAATAGTCTGTTTATTGCAGGCGATGAGTCACAATAACGTGGCTAAAGTATGTTGACCAGACTACACACTAGAAGGTGAAGGGACGACGACGCTTCGGTCCGTCCTGGACCATTCCCAAGTCGATTGTGAATGGTCCAAGACGGACCGAAACGTCATCGTCCCTTCACCTTCTAGTGTGGGGTCTGGTCACCATGTGATGAACTGCAAGGAGATACAATCTCCTCGGTAGGGAAGGTCGGTCCGTTCATCTAATAGACCGCATTTATGCCTTGTTTACTGTTGATGGCTGGAGCCCGTAGCTGCCATTGGCTCCCCACCACCACAATATACCCTCTCCCTCCCCTACCCCCGAGACTACTATTGCCTCCTCACCCCCATGATAAGATAAGATGGTTATTCGGGTAAAGGTACTTGCATTGAAAATGAGTTACAAACATAATGAGTGGGATTGGGTGGTTATAGATAGGAGCTGCCTCGTATGGGCCAGTAGGCCTTCTGCAGTTGCCTTTGTTCTTATGTAATGTTGGATTTATAGAGCTGGTACATATACAATGCCTGAAGTCACTAATACGCGCAGCGTCTCAGGCAATGGTGAATACGATGGTGAATACACCATAGATTGTGGGGGTAGAGGTGGTAGATCCCACCTCCCCAGAGCCACTGATAGGAAGCTATACATCCAAGGTGTAACCCTCTTTCCTACTCACTAGGGTAAATACCCCTCCCTGCCTCCCTAGGGCAGTATACGTACCCAGCCTTGCATTCCACCCAACTTTCATAACAGAAAGGATACACATAAGACAGAAGAAGCGGCTATGTCAAACAATTATGGCCTTGTCTTGGATTGAACCCTTGAATGGCTGCATATATAGATTTTTGCATTCTAGATTTACTTTGATCTAGAGTGATGAATTGTGAATTTCTTGCCTACATTCATTGTTATGTTCTAATTTGTTGCAGAACTATTTTGGATTCATGAGGATGTGTAAAGTTTTTTTAACTTAAACAATAGGCACAAATTGAAGGGTAGACGGCTTTGTGTAACGATCAGTGCATGAGTTTGTGAGCTTACTGTCGGTGGCTTCTGGACGAGTTTTTCGTTCCACACTAGACAGTATCCTTGATGGTGAGTGGCCCTCAAGGTCGCAGCTGTGGGATAAGTTCTGCCCCTGTTGTTTGGTGGAGTTGTAAACGTCTGTTTGACACACGAGTCTGGTAGAAGCGAGTCAGAGGCCGCTGATGTGCGCTGGTCTCCGGGTGACGACCTTAAGGAACTCTTATAAGCAGAACTTGAACCTGCTAGAAGAGACACAAGCACGGGATCTTACGGGGAAAGGACCTAACGATGGGAAGATGGTGGGAATGGCTTGCAGGAGTGTTGAGTTGTTGTTGTTTAAGATTCGCTACTTGGAACAAAAAGTTCTTGAGAGTTCGGCACCATTCTCAAAGGTTCTTCTAAATACTGTGGCAGCATGATGAATAAGTTGGGGGGATCTTAAACCTATTCTATAGTCGTGATTTAAATGTGCATAAAGACCTGGGACCAGATTCACGAAAGCACTTACGCAAGCACTTACAAACGTGTACATCTTTCCTCAATCTTTGACGGCTTTGGTTACATTTATTAAACAGTTTACAAGCATGAAAACTTCCCATTCAACTGTTGTTATAAACAGCCTCCTGGTGCTTCGGAGCTCATTAACTGTTTAATAATTGGAAACAAAGCCGCCAAAGATTGAGAAAAGATGTACAGGTTCGTAAGTGCTTTCGTGAATCTGGCCTCTGATTATCAGATTAGCAGCAGCAAACATATCCTCATGGATGTCACCCATCCTGTGGCACCTGTCGGCCTCACTTGTACTTCAGGACCTTTGTAAATCAATTCATTATAAAAGTAAATGACCAACAAGACCAGTGATACCTTTACCAAGATTTACCCAAGTCCTCGTATAACTTGTTGACCAGACCACACACTAAAAGTTGAAGGGACGACGACGTTTCGGTCCGTCCTGGACCGAAACATACTTCAGCTACGTTATTGTGACTCATCGTATAACTTCGTTAATATGATAAAGTATTTTCCTACAGCATTATTGGAATGGGAATTTGAACGTGATTGTATATAATTGAAGTTGGAATTCAATGTTTTTTTTTATTATTATAAGGAAAAATGTTCAGCGATTTTATCTGTATTCTGTAACCCCCAAAATTACACTTGGTAAAGCAAGGCTTTACTGTATCAATAAGAAATAACTGTTGTAATGCTAGCATAGTTATTGGTAAAGCCAGTGGGCGAAAGGTACAAGTTAATCACATATATAATTATTAGACAAGGTAATTATATATGAAGTGAAAATATATAGCACTTTTAAAAGATATATGACTATAAGGAGCTGGGATACGAGGACAAGGAACCTGAGTAGGGCGGATGGACGAAACGGGAGAGGGGGGGCCCCCCAACAACGTTGGACCATCGGGGATCGAACAGAGACCTGCAAGATGCCAGGTCTCCGTTGTACCGAGCAGCGCAGGTAGCTAGGTAACGTTCATAAGGTTGATCCAACATTATCTATCGTTGCTTAATCAGTGTTTGCACGCTGGGGAAGCTTTGATGTAGAACAGACAATTCTATTAGCGTTATTTAATACCATAATGTATTTTTGCTTATTATTTAGACCTTTTATTAATTTGCCAAATTCATTTCGTTAGACGGATTTATCCATATCCAACTGTGAGTGTGTTGTTGTATTCTCTTCTCGCACTTGCAGAATGTTTGCATACATTCAATAGCATTAGCGTAGTGTGTGTGTATTCGCCTAGTTGTGTTTGCGGGGGTTGAGCTTCGGCTCTTTGGTCCCGCCTCTCAACCGTCAATCAACTGGTGTACAGGTTCCTGAGCCTACTGGGCTCTATCATATCTACATTTGAAGCTGTGTATGGAGTCAGCCTCCACCACATCCTAGTGCATTCCATCTGGTAACTACTCTGACACTAATAAAATTCTTTCTAATGTGTCTGTGGCTCATTTGGGTACTCAGTTCCCACCTGTGTTCCAATCGTGTGTGTGTGTGTGTGTGTGTGTGTGTGTGTGTGTGTGTGTGTGTGTGTGTGTGTGTGTGTGTGTGTGTGTGTGTGTGTGTAAAATACCTAAGCAGTCAGACAGGCTCACGTGCAACAGGTTGGCAGTGCTTGACAGTGGTGGACACAGTTGCCAGGGGGTAACTGCTTTAAGCTGCTCCCACCTGGCTAGACTCTGGCAGAGAAATTGATTGTCAAGTTCCGTCTGTGTCGTTTTCACCTTCAACAATCAATTACTAATTTTATTCATGCCTGTTAATTAAATCAAATATTCTTTGAAAGTTGTATGTTGGTCTGATAAGCGGAATATTTTAACTAATGAAAAATTGTTACTGTAGGAGAAGCAGCCTAATCTTAAATGTAAATTTAAAAATAGCTTTTATGGCTTTTATGACTTATGGCTTTTTGTCCAGTTATTTATATCTTTAGTCGATTTTGATTGAATGTGGCGTCTCTCTCTCCTACCTTCTATCTTGAGGTTATCTTGAGATGATTTCGGGGCATTTTTTTTTAGTGTCCCCGCGGCCCGGTCCTCGACCAGGCCTCCACCCCCAGGAAGCAGCCCTTGACAGCTGACTAACACCCAGGTACCTATTTTACTGCTAGGTAACAGGGGCATAGGGTGAAAGAAACTGTGCCCATTGTTTCTCTCCGGCGCCTGGGATCGAACCCGGGACCACAGGATCACAAGTCCCGCGTGCTGTCTGCTCGGCCGACAGGCTCCCCTTCTATCACTCCTCCTTTGGTAAATGTCAGGCTGCATGCATTGACCGGATTGGCTGGTCTGTTTGTGCTTGCATCTCATTGACATCAATTGTCTAGCTCTACAGAAATCTATTTATCTGGAAATCCTCTACTGGCCCAACATGGCAGAATCGCAGATGCTCGTTCACTCGATTTCAATCGAGCAGCTAATCTATTAAATTGTAATTTATAATCACA